CCCCGAATTCAGCTGGCGCGCCAACCCCGCACGCAGGGTGCAAAGGGTTTCGACTCATGCCAGTCGCCGCTTCGGATTGCTTCAATCTTGCTCGTGTTGCCAATCGAGGGGCTTAGAGTGTGGTGCTGCGAGCCACATTAGAGCGATGGGCAGGAAGAAGATCAATTCCTGTGCGGCGAGTGAACGCTCTAACGAGGCGCCGCTGCAAGCAGCCAGCGATGGCCACGTTCAAATTCATGCAAACAAAAGTTGCGCCGTCACAATGCCTCAATCGTTATCGCCGCCTTTTTTTCATCGGGTTGTTCTCGTTTTGGAAATCCTGATTTTCCTCCCACCAACCGGCCGCATTCTTGGCTGAAATCGGGAGTCGATCTGGAATGTCCACGCTCGCTTTGGCCCGCCACGGCGGCACAGGAATGTGCAAAGGCTGATGAGCGAGTTTAACACATTCACTCTCGCGGCTCTGCAAGTCGGCACCACCGGGGCATTGCCTCTCGCCCTTCTCTGTTCAGTGTTCTGCTGCTGTGGCTTGTGATCATCTGGACATGAAAGCGGAAGGACAGGCTTGGAGGCTCGCTCTTCTGCGACGAAGTGCTGCTCAGGGGCGCACAATTCGGCCAGGCGTTGCGCGCGGCAGAAGATTGGTTTGGTGCCCCAGCCGGCGGAATCCTTCGCTCCCCCTCGGTCTCGATTTGCACGCGCGTTGACAAGTCCACCCTCGGGAACAGGAAGGCGGGGGCCATGTCCGTGGACCCTGTCCTTCGCTGGCTGTACGTCGGGGATGCAGAGGATGCAGCCGGGACCAACAGACGATGATGATGAGGCTGGCGGTTGTTGGGCAACTGCTGTGCTGTTAGAGTTCCGGCCAATGCATCGCATGAAGCCTGCAGCTGAACCGCAGGCCCAACACCTCCGCCACGTCCTGGCATGAAAACGGCTTGCAGCCCCGATCAGCCGTTGCGCGGCTTCTCCTCGGCGCGGTGCCGTGAGGTGGGCTTTTGCTGCCCGATTGCCGCATGACGCACATCTCGTGAATTCTTCCTCCGCCCTCGCGAAAAGGCAGTGCAGCATGCCTGCGAGAAATTTTCTTCGGAGAATACGGCACCGCCGAGCATCGATGAAGCCAGGAGTGGGCACCAGGACTGTGTCGCTCGTTGTTCTTCGTTGCAGATCAAATTTGAAACTCGCGGCTGATCACGACTGGAAGCGCGCCCGAGCAGCACGGCGTTCAATGCTTCGCGAATCGACCCTCGGCTCGAATCCGCAGCAAACCGACTGCCCCTGTGGCTCCTGAGCATCGAGGCGCACGCTAGTCAATCGGTCATGGGCCTCTTCGATACGTAAACGCGCTGCAGAATCGCGCAAACAGGGGCTACGCTGCAGCGGTCTAGCAGCGTTTAGACCTCGACTCGAGACCGAGGCGCGTTGCAGTGCAACTCTGCCGTCCAATGCATCGGCGCGGCTTGCCAGCACATGTTTTCCGCATCAACAGGGCTGCCGCACGCTGCTGCGTTGTTCGAGTCAGACTTGACAGGTTGCTTCGAGCTGACGATTGTCGGAAGATGCCGACAATGTGACTGCAGCACTATGGCTTTCGGTGTCGACGGGCGGTGGGCGGTAGCAACGGATGGACAACAGAAGCGTAGGCTGTGCGGTGCGAAGCTGTAGGGCTTGGGCGCAATCGCCCCATTTGTGCTGATCCAAAGGTGCATCGCCGTGCCGATTGGCTCGACGCTGCGCTTTGGCGCTGTCTGCTGCGATTCGTGCAGCTCAACCGACGGTGCCCGCACGCCGGTCCACGCTCGTGCCCTGCGGTTGGCCCCCGCCTCCGGCCAGCGCTTTGTCCGAGCTTTTCATGCCGCCAACTGTGACATTCGCAATCCTCAGACGCAGAAGCTCAGCTCACACTCCCCCCTTTGTGCCGGCTCGCCGAAGCGTGCTTCGAACGGCGAATGTACACACGTTCGGCGCCTCCGAGATGCTGGCATCCAACACCCTCATTTCGTCACATCACACAGCCCTGCCGCACCTATGCTTTGAGTTCCGACCGCCGTCTCTGTAGCCTTCATCTTGAGTCCCTTCCTCCCCTGCTCCCTACCTCACTTCCCTCCAACCAACACCGCCCTCACACCTTCACCCATTGCAACACCCTCGTCACAGTCCCCACCTCCTCATCACGCTGATTAGGGCATAAAGGCGTCAGACTCCTTACCTCCGTGCCGACGCCGGCATTGCGCTGATATCCGTCCTCCTCTCGCCGTCTTCGCCCTCTGGACTCATCAGCTTCCGTCCCGTCAGTCGTGTACTGCATAGATACCATCCTCTTGTCGACAGGCTTCACGCAGAGCCACACGTTCCTTCACAATGCCCAACCCGTACGGCGCTGGCTCGTCGTCCATCAGCCCTCCTTCCAGCTCCTCCACCAGCTTCGCCGCAACTCCATCCACCCAGCATGATCGCCTCCTAGCTCGTCCCAATGCCGGTCCTTCAGGCGCTGCAAAGTACCAGCTCGCCCCAAATGCCACCACCGAAGAGGAGGACGACTATCTCCACGAGATCGACACAAAATGGGACTCGTCTTCCCATGGCTGGAACCTGAGAGGGTTCCTCAACATCCTCACCCTCACTCTCCTCGCCCTCGGTCTCATCATGCTCTTCCTCGGCTATCCCGTCCTCATCAAGGTCAAAAACATGTACGACAATGATACCAAGGGCGCATTTGGCATCGGCGGCACCAACGGCTCAGGACAGGTGCCTGCCCTCGACATTGTTTCGCTCGTCGATGCCGACACTCCACAGAGCGCTCTCAAGTGGTCCAGCAGCTACGACCAGGCCTCCTACCACCTCGTCTTTAGCGACGAGTTCGAGAAGGACGGCAGGACCTTTTGGCCCGGCGACGATCCTTTCTGGGAAGCCGTCGATCTGTGGTATTCCGGAACTGGTGACTACGAATGGTACTCGCCCGAGGCAGTGAACACTACCGGCGGCGCCCTAGTGATCGCGCTCGAGGAGCACCAGCTGCATAACAAGAACTTCCGCTCTGGCATGGTCCAGTCTTGGAACAAGTTCTGCTTCCAGGGTGGCTACATCGAGTTCAGCGTCCGCCTCCCTGGCGCTCCCAGCACCAGTGGATACTGGCCTGCCGTGTGGCTCATGGGTAACCTCGGCCGTCCAGGATACCTTGCCTCGACAGAAGGCACCTGGCCCTACTCGTACCAGTCGTGCGACACTGGCATCCTTCCTAATCAGACCTGGGTCAACGGCACGGGTCCGGACCTCGCCATCCACTCCTCGGGCACTTACGCGTACAACGGCGAGCTTTCCTACCTTCCCGGCATGCGATACTCGTCTTGCACGTGCCCAGGCCAGGACCACCCCGGCCCCAACAACAACGTGGCTCGTTCGGCCCCAGAGATCGACATCTTCGAAGTGCAGGTGCAGTACAAGGACGGCGCGCGTCACTCGTACGCCTCGCAGTCGCTCCAAGTGGCGCCGTTCGATGACGCGTACGGCTGGGGCAACTCGTCTGCCGACGCCAAGATCTACGATGACACCCTGACTGAGTTCAACACGTACACCGGCGGTCAGATCCAGGAAGCCGTCTCGTCCGTCACTCGCGTCCCCGACCGCGGATTCCAGCTGACCCAAAACGAATATGTCACGTACGGCGTCGAGTTCAGCCCGGACTTCAACTACGACGGTAGCGGCTCCATGACGTGGTACGTGGACGGCAAACCTTCGTGGACTGTCAACCCCAAGGCCTTCCCGGCGCGCGCCAACCTCGACATTGGTCAGCGCATCATTCCTGTCGAGCCCATGGCGATCGTCATGAACCTGGCCATCTCGAGCGGCTTCCAGACAGTCAACTTTGGCGAGGGCGGCATCACGTTCCCGGCCTTCATGGAAGTCGACTACGTGCGTGTCTACCAGAAGGATGGCCAGTCCGACCTGATCTCGTGCGATCCCGCGGACCACCCGACGGCCAACTTTATCTCGACGCACCAAGATCTGTACTACAACAACAACCTCACGCAGTTCCCGCGCGACAAGTACACGTGGCCCAAGAACAAGCTGCAGGGCTGCTGATTGCTCCTCAAGCATACTCCCCTCTCTCTCAGAACAATGTACTCATAGACTCGACCCGAGCAACCTTGCTTCGGCGGACTCCACTTGCAATCTTTCTTCCAGTTTCGCTTTGCTTCGCTTCGCCAGACGGTCAGGTATTATCTATTGCTGCGTGTGAGGCGAGAACGCCATCAAGGAATACCGATGTATTCGAGATAGAGCGGGTCGGTGGGAAGCATCATGGGCGGGTCGTAGATCTTGTACAAGCTGGGCGAGCGATTTCCCCATGCGTCAGTGAGGCGGAGCGCTGCGCTGGAGACGCCATGGTGCAGGTCGATCCAGGTGTCGACCATGGTGTACTCTTCCGGCACGTCGTACATCTCTTCGGGCGGGCTGCCGCCGGGACAGCTGGAAGTGAGCAGCTGCGCGCCCTCCCTCGTGATGGGCCACAGCTGAAGCGTGCCGTTGGCGTGCAAGACGTAGTTGCCGTGCTGCCAGATCAGCTGACTCTGAATGCATTCTGGCTTGCGAGCTGGATATTTATGCAAAAGGTGGGACCGGGTCAGATCCTAGCATAGGGAGGCTCGAGCTCGGGCGTGCGTGAGGATGACTTACGATTGGGCGTCACGCGGTACTTGGCAAACTCCCAGAAGCCGTCTTGTGTGAAGCTGTATGCCTGGCCGGGCACGGTTGGAGCGATGAAGCTCCTTGAGCGCGGGTTGAAGAAGCCCTGTGATGTATCGAAGCGGGGGCGAACAAGCGTCAGTACGTTGGACAGGTCACAAAGCGTCATTGGGCGAAGCATTGAGACGTACGGAACCGGTGGTCACTTTGCCAGAGCCTGACGACCAAGTGCCCTGCAGCATGGGCTCATCGCCTGCGTGAAGTACGGCGTATCGCTGGCGGCCCGCCCGAACCATGCTTAGGCTCAGCAGCACAATGTATGCCAGGCAAGCCTGGAGGAGCTGGATGGAGCGTGCCATTGTCGAGGCGCAGTGGAGCCGCAGGGAGACTGTTGGTCAGGGTGGAAAGTGAGATGCCAACACGATGTTGCTCGGGATGAGTGGCTGTCGGTCGAGAGGTGTATCAGGTATAAGCGTGCCTTGCTTTGCTAGCGATCAAGTTTGGCGATGTCGGCGGCTGGGCTGGAATCTGTGATGGTGGTGAGGATGCGACAGATTGTGGAAGCCGGCGTCGTCTGCTGTGTGCCGCAGAGACAGAATAGTAGTGCAGAGACAGAGTGGTAGTAGGTCAAGGTTGGAGACGCTCAGACGATCATGCACCAGGACAAGACGTGGATCGCAGGACCACCACAGCCGTGGCTCGGAGTTGCCGACCCTGTGTGCGCCAACAGGCTTCTGCGAAGCTTGCCGACGTTTAGAATCGGCACCGGTGGGCTCCTGAGGCATATCGACCGTACCTCTCTACACAGCACCTAGGGCCAGGGGCAACAGCTGACCAAGCGAAGCAGAGACAGAGGATGCATCAGGGATCGGAGCTTCCGAGTGCAGTGCGAGGGCAGTGCGAGGGCGTCGTGGATCCAAGCTTCTTGGCATTCCTAGTCGCAGGGGATCCGTCCGACAGTGCGCTGCTGGCCTCTGCCACGTTTTGACTGTGGAGCAGCGCGGGTCCACCTGTCAGCTTTGGTCGTTGTGCCCTCTTGTGGCTGCCTAGACCCTCAGCCGCTGTGTGTTGCTGCAGCCAAGAATAGGGCCTTCCCCTGGCGGCGTGTAGAGCCTCGGTAGACTGGCGTGGACCGGGGTTCGGACGCGTCTGTTCCTCTGGGCCTGTGTTGAAGCGCCCATGAATTCTCGAGCCAAAATCTCCGCCTGCGGACCAGCAGAAGTTCAGATCGCGGACGCGTGCTCATCTGCCAAGTCTTGGCACCAGACCCAAATTGCTTGGCACCAAACATCACTGCTGCTCCGCCCCGCACGCCTGTAGCGAAGCCTGAAGAGACGTCGCCGATGTTGAACAGGGTGATCCTCGATAAAGCTGACACTTCTCCAATCTCATTGTCGCTGGACGCAGGGTGATCCGATCATGATCAAGCAGGGCGTATCATACACCGGGTGAGCCGTAGAGGGTGTGCGAATTCTCCAACGCCAAACATGGTCGGGCGGGCCGAAGGAAAGGGCTGCGGAAAGTGGGGTGGCGCCTCGCGTATCAGACGGCCTGCTTGTCAAATAGCGTGCGCCTGCAGTCGGACGCGGAGGCTGTGCTCATGCGTCGAGAAAGCCAAGACTTTCTTTGAGCCCCTCGCCGATCCTCGTCCGTTCGGAGACTTCCCCAAGCTGGTAATCACACGAACTGTTGAATGCTTCCGTCGACTGCCTGTACGCCGAACGGCGCTTTGAGGCCTGTGTAGCCCTCGTGCTGCTTGACGGGGTCCGCTTGACGTCGCTCGTCAGAGGTGCCCTTCGCTGTCGAGACCAACATGCCAGTCGCAAAAGCCGGTCCTTCCTTCTTCACCAACACCAACAGCTTGCCGTCCTCATCGTGTACTCGTTGCGCCGCCTTCACTTGCTCCCATTCGAGTTGACCTGCAAGACCACAAACAGACAGAATCTCCAGACGTCAGCAAGGCGCTAGCCTCTTCCTTTCTATACACACCCAGTCATGGCCGACAGGTCCAGAGGTGGCTACCACAGGGCGGATAACCCGCCCAGCATGGCGTCGTCACGGCCTTCCGTGCTCACCGACTCGAGCAGCGGCTCGTCTTCGCAGAAATACTATACCATGCCCGTGCAGCAGGGCGGCTATGCCAAAGGCGCATATGGACCAAGGTCAGCGCCCGCCGCGCCACTCTTGACCGACGACGACGACGAGGATGACTACCTGTACAACGACAAGGCGCTCGACAAGCGCTCGGGCACCTGCATCAGCACGAGAGGTATGCTGAACGTCTTGACCCTCATCCTGCTCGCTCTGGGCCTGCTCGCTCTATTCCTCGGCTACCCCCTCGTGGTGGTGCTCAGCAAAGTGTTCGATAGCATCGACATCAACCCAAAGAGCCCAGAGCGTCTCACTGCAATCACACAGCGTGGTCTCCTGGATCCAGACACCCCGCAATCCGCCATGAGGCGCACCTCCCCCGTCGACGGCAGTGCCTGGCACCTCGTCTTCTCGGACGAGTTCGAGCAAGAGGGCAGATCCTTCTGGCCGGGCGACGACCCCTACTGGGAGGCCGTCGATCTCTGGTACTGGGGTACCGGCGATCTCGAATGGTACTCGCCAGAGGCGGTCAACACCACTGGCGGCGCTCTTGTCATCTCCGTCGAAGAGAGGGAGACCAACAACAAGAACTTCCGTTCCGGCATGGTGCAGTCTTGGAACAAGGTCTGCTTCCAGGGTGCATACTACGAGATCTCGGCGCGTCTGCCCGGAAGCCACACCGTTCCCGGTTTCGTAAGTAGTCACTCTCCATCACACGCTGCAATGGCGCCTTTCCGCGGTCTTCATCCAAATCAGTCACTGACCTGACATTATGATTCCCTTCGCTTTGAATTCGCAACGCTAACAGTGGCCAGGCCTGTGGACTCAGGGCAACTTGGGCCGTCCAGGATACGGTGCCACCAACGAGGGAATGTGGCCGTACTCGTACCAAGGATGCGACACGGGCGCTCTGCCCAACCAGACATACATCAACGGAACCGGACCGCCCAAAGCACTCGACGCCAGAGGCCTCTTCTCGGCATCGTACAACAACGAGCTCTCGTGGCTGCCAGGCATGCGATACACCTCGTGCAACTGTCCCGGCACCGAACACCCCGGCCCTAACCACGGCGTGGCGAGGTCCGCTCCCGAGCTTGATATCCTCGAGGCCAAGATCAATGTCGCCGGCGGGCACGGAGAGACCTCCCAGTCGCTTCAAATGGCACCGTTCGACGTCGATTACTACTACGGCAACAGCACGGCGGCTGGCGACATTCGCATCTGGGATGCCAACACCGAGCTCAACTCGTACAAGGGTGGTGCCATCCAGGAGGCCGTCTCGGCGCTGAGTCAAGTGCCGGATGTCGCGTATGAGAATACGGTGGGTGGGCGCTACGTGACATTCGGCGTCGAGTACTCGCCCGACTGGAACGAGAATGGCGACGCATCCGTCACCTGGTACATGGACGGCCGTCCGATGTGGACGCTGAACGGACAGGCTATTGGGCCGGTGCCCGAGCTCGACGTGAGCCAGCGCCTGGTGCCGACGGAGCCGATGTTCATGATCCTCAACGTTGCCATCTCCGAGTCGTTCCAGGTGCCCGACTTTACGCAGCTCGAGTTCCCGGCGCACATGTACGTCGACTACGTGCGCGTCTACCAGCGCGACGGCCAGCCCGACCGCGTCGGGTGCGACCCTGCGAACCGCCCGACGTACGACTACATTGAGAACAACAAGGAGATCTACTACAACCGCAACATCACCGAGTACCCCAAGTCCAAGATCCCCAAGAACCGTCTCACGGGCTGCTGAGCCATGTTCAGCTTGACCTGACGCCACGCTCCTTCTTTGCTCAATCCTAGCATCTGTAGTATCTTTGTCCCGTTTCAACGCACTCTGCATTCTCAATCCATCGCTGCCAGCCTTTCCATCGCTTGCAAAGTCGCGAGAATGGAATCGAATAAGATAGGAAGCATATGCGAGCAAGTACAGTACAGACGAAGTCGTTCAGGCTCTGACGAGGTTGTATCCCTGATATCCGGCCTTCTTGCACTCGTCGAGCTCGGTGACGTACAGCGGAATGCCGCCCTGCGATTCAGCGATGCGAAAATGAAACGATCACACAAAGGTCAGCATCAGTGCAGGATTGTTACGAGGGATGTCTGGAGAGGCAACTTACGGTGAAATTGAGCGCCTGAACCGGCTTGCCTGGGATGTTGCGGCCCATGTACCAGCCGTGGCTCTCGTGGAAGAGCGTCTTGGCCGAGAGCTCGTTGATGTGCTCGCCGAACTTGGCTTCGGCCTCGCCGTCGACGTCAAATGACGCGATCTTGTTGTCGCGCATGTACTTGATGAACTCGCACACCCACTCGGCCTGCACCTCGACGGTGGAAGGACCATTCGAGTATGCCGTAGGACCATGAGGTCCGTACAGGAAGAACAGGTTGGGGAATTTCTGCAATAGAAAAATATGGCAAAAAAGGCAGGCAGAAAAAGGTGGTGTCAATATCATCTGGCTCATAGGCGCGGACAGGATGCCAAGACTTACAGCCGTGTTGAGACCGTTGAGCGAGTTGCAGCCCTGCGACCACTTGTCGGTGAGCGGCAGACCCTGCTTTCCACGAATGTCGATCTGCTTGAATCCACCAGTGTGCGTATCGAAGCCGGTGGCGAGGATGATCTGGTCGAGCTCGATTTCGCGTCCGCTGTTGAGCCTGACGCCGGTCTCGGTGATCTCCTTGATGCCCTCGTCGCCTCCGCGCTTGATCGAGATAATCTCGACATTGTCCTGGTTCATTACCTCGTAGTAGTTCTGCTCGAGCGAGGGGCGCACGGTGCCGAAAGTGTGAGGCCACTCCTCGGGACAAAGGATCTCGCGCTTCTTGGGATCCTTGATGCGCGCCGCGACCTTCTTCTGCCAAAAGTCGTACGCGGTCTTGTTGGCCTCCTTGTTGGCGTACAGATCGTGGAAGGTCTCGAGCCAGAAGTGGAAGCCGCCTCGTGCCCACAGCTCCTCGTAGAGCCTCTCTCGCTCCTCAGCCGAGACCGAGAGCGTGTCGCGCGGGTCAAAGTCGTAGTGGAAGCCGCCAAAGGTCTTCTTGCGCTTCTCAAAGATCTCGGGATAGATGTCCTTGAATGCCTCCTGAGCACTCGCCTCGAGCTTCTGCTGTCGCATGGGCAAGGCAAGGTTGGGCGTGCGAACAAAGACGGTAAGACGGTCTACCAGGGGTCCGATCTCCTGGCTCACTTGGATGCCCGAAGCACCGGTGCCGATGACGGCGGCCTTCTTGCCCGTGCAGTCGATCGACTCGTCCCATTCTCCCGTGTGGATGATCTTGCCCTTGAACTTTTCCATGCCTGGAATCTTAGGGATGTTGACCTTGGAGGCGAACCCGAGGCAGAAGATGACGTGCTGCGCCGTGACAGTGACGGTCTTATCCTCGCTCGGGCCTGCGGTCAGCGTCCACTTCTGTGCAGCATCATCCCAGTGCGCGCTGCGCACGCGGTGATTGAAGCTGCAATCCTTGCGCAGCTCGAGCTTCTCGTCGAGGTGGTTGAAGTACTGGCGAAGCTCCTTAAAGTCGGGATACTTGCACGAGAAGTTCCACGACCTCCAGACCTCCGGGAACGAGAGGCCGTACAGCGGGACCTCGCTATCGACTCTAGCTCCAGGATACTGCGGTGTTTCTCAAAGGTAATGAGTCAGTTCAATGGCCGCTCCGTTCATGCATCCTAACGAAAGGCCTACTCACGCAGTTGAGCCTCCAAATGCCGCCAAAATCAGGCGCCGCATCGAAGAGATGTACGTTGAAGCCGAGCTTTCTCAGCATGTATCTGTAATGGGACGAGGCGAAGGCGGCGGGGAACGAAGAAAAGACAAACAGGTTCAGCGGATGTTCAGACGCTCGACAACATGTACTGTCAGCCTCTCCACGATTTGGGCGGACACGAACAGATGATAAATTCCGGCGAAGCCGCCTCCCACGCAGACGGCGTCGTAATGCTGGGTCATGTTGGGTGTGTCGAAGCAAGAGAAAGTATGGATGGTCGGGATAGTCGGCGAAGACGCTGGTTGCGATCAGGGTGCAAAACAGTCTCGGTCGCAAAGGTGAAGAAGGGCGGAGGGTGAGAGTGCGATTCGGTGCCTTAAATGCAGTGTTGTTGGCTGTGCTTGCAGGCTGGGTGGGGCAGCCGAGATGCCGCCAAGTGACGAATTCTAGCCCACCGAAAGGAGGGGGGAGCGGAAGGGTGCCGACGAGTCAGTGTATCTTTGATCGACCCCCACAAGGCAGCGCCGTCAGCGGCGGAAGTGGCCATGTCGAGGCCCAGCCCAACGTGGAGAGCCACTCGGTGGGGAGGCGGCGGCAATCAAGCGGGTCATCTGATCCAGGGCGGCTAGACGCGGTGGGGCTGTGGCGGGACTGCCAATTTGCCCCGCATATTCGGTGGTCGAGTCGAGTCGATGCTCGAGAGATGCCGAGGGGTGGGGAACAGCTAGCCCGCAGCAAGCCCGAAAGCTGACGAGGCTGCTTCGCCAAGCGTAACAGCGCAAGGCGGGGCAGGGTCCAAGATGGTCGGAAGTGCCGACGTCGAGACGCCGCGCGGGTCGCCGAACAGCCGCCCGTCCACGAAGACCACAGAGCTCCACAAAAGGAGCGCCCACCTTCGAAAGCGGTATGGAATGCGACTCGCTTATGCTCGGCACAACCGACGCTTGCATTGTGCTGAGAGCCAAAGGATTCCTCCACTCTGATGCAGACGTCAAATGGAAGACAGCTGCGCGCTGAGTTAGCCTCCTCACGTCGGACTCTGACCGAATCGTTAAATTGACCGATGCGCATCAGCCGTGTGAGACTACAGTAAAGGGCTGACTGCCTAGGGTCAAGAGGTCGGTCTTGCCAGGCTGCCGTCTCTCAGTGGAGTCGTGGCTGGTATGTGGCGGGCAGCCTTTTCTGCAGCGGCTAGGGTGCAGATGCCAGGTGGGAGCAAGTGGGCAGGCAGGCTTACCCCGCATTTTTTTTTTTTT